GGGGCGCGGCACGCGCTCCCGCGGGCTGCAGGGGGACGGGCAGCCTCAGCCCCCTGCCCCAAAAGGAACCCGTGGCCTCAGTGGGGCGGCCGCGGTGCTGCCGCGAGGGGTCTTGGCCTCCTGGGCACGGCGCGAGCCCCGGGCCGCCCCGAAGGCTCTGTGCCCAACATGGGCCCTTGCCCAAAGAAAACCCTGCCTGCTGCCCTCCTCGGAGCTGGTCCCCCCGGCCGGCGCGTGTCCCCCATGGCCTCCCGGCTGGACCCGCAGCGCTGCGCTCGCTGTCAGCGGGGCGAGGGGAGCGGGACGCGCTCCTTCCCCCGGTCTCCCCTGCGCTCCGCGCTGCCCGCGGGGCTTGGAGCGCGAGCGGAGCTGTCAGCAGCCCGAGCAGCTGATTAACGGTGACCTACATTCCGCTCCGTGCTGGATTCGGCTTCCAGGCCCGGCAAGCCCCGCAGAGGACGGGGCGGCCGGGAACAAGCCGCCGTCGGCACAGGCGCCCAGCTGCCTTGTCCCCACGTGTCCGGGTGCCGGGGTGAGCGCTGGCAGGGTTAAACCTTGGTGTCCGGGCACTCTTCCCGATCCCCAGAGCCCTGTGTCAGAGCTCGGCTTGCTTTTTTGCCGCTCCGGCCCTGTAATCACCTCGGTGCGGTCTGCGGTTGATGCAAGGCCCTGGGGAGTGACCTCCGTCCCCAAAATTATCCTGCCAAAGGGAAACCTGGTCCCTCCCTGCTCTGCCAGGGGCAGAACCAGGCTCCTCCGGCTCCCAAGTCCCTCTAATCTCACAGAGAGAGGCCTCCTTGGGTTTTGGGTGGCCTCATCCCAGCTCAGGGGCAATCCTTAGCGCCACCTTCATCACTTCTTCTCACCCTCCTTGATGGAGGGTTCCCAGGCGGGTCCCCCCTGGCTTGGACGTGGGATGGAGGCAGCAGGGACTGGCACTGCCGTGGCCTCACTCATCCCCACAGATTTGGTTGCTTTATCACAGGCACCTTCACTGGCTTGTGCTCCCCAAGGGCCTGGCGCTTTCCGTGACGCAGGAGCACCGGCCTCTTCCCCGGCTCACGCTCTGTTTCCTCCTTGCAGGGAGGGCCTCAAACTCAGCGCCGGCTCCAAGAGGTCGGCGGC